CAGTGTTTAACCAGAGAAAGGAAGAGAACGTGGTATTTAAACCGGCAAACGATGATTAACCAAGAAAAGGAATAATGGGGTTTGTTAACCAAAGAATGGTGATTAACCTAAGAATGAGCTGGTATTTAATTAAGACTCAGTGATTAACCAAGGGATAGAGGTGTGGTATTTAAACCGACAGGCGGTGATTAACCAAGAAAAGGAATAATAGGGTTTGTTAACTAAGGAATGATGATTAACCCAAGAATGAGTTGGTATTTAACTGAGACCCAATGATTAACCAAGGAAGAGAGGTGTGGTATTTTAACCGAGAATCGGTGATTAACCACGAAAAGGGTGAAAATGGTATGTTAACCAACCGTCCATAATTAACCAAGGAAAGGGCGTTATAGGGTTTGTTAACCAAGAAATGGTGATTAATCTAATAAAGAATTGATGTTTTAACTGAGAAACAATGAATAACCAAAGAAAAGAGTGTTTTAACCAGTAAGTGGTGATTAACCCAAGAGAAAAGGGAATGTTGGTATTTTAACTGAGGATCAATGATTAACCAAAGGAAGAGTGTTTTAACCCGTAAGTGGTGATTAACCAAAGATAAAAGGATATTGAAGTGCATCATTGTTGTTTATTGACATGATGAACGAGACTTGCCAATTATGTGACTTGAATTGCACTAAAGTCTACAAATGGAGGCAAATACTCTTAGTAACTATGGCCTACGCCTCGTACGCAAAGATACTCTAGACAAAGATCAGACTGGTCCCTCTCATGATTCTCCATTGCTTAAGGCTCATGGCACACAATTCATGTCGGAATCGACAAGCGTTGAATAGTAATCCTTCGTTGTCGCGCTTTGTACAGTGCTCCCGTCTTGCCTTGAGATTTTGCACGAGGTCTCAAACGAGAAAAGACTTGATTGTGAAGCGGGAAAGGTAATCTTATTCGATCTAGTGGTCGAGGACCATGGGTATGCAAGTTATCATGAAATTAATTGATCCAAGCAAAATTGATCAACTAATTCGAAGGAGAAAGAAAGTGCCAAATTAAATCTTTTAATACAATTAAAAGATCAATCATGGAAATAAGGAGTGGAATGATTATGCAAAAATCAAATTTACTCAAGCAAGAGTAAATCTAGTGGATTAAATGGAAATAAAAATCATATAGGTGAATCAAATATCATGCATTTATACTCATTTTACATGTTAATAAATAAGCAAAAATAGGTAAAAAAATGCTTCAAAGATATAAAAGTCTCACAAGAAAATTCAAGGAAATCATGCCTTTAATTAAACAAGAATATTGTGGGGGGTATGCAGACCAGAAAGGAGTGTTAACACTGATACAGGCCTAACAAAGGAAGGTCCAAAAGAAAAGGGAGCAATCTGTCTCAAAACAGGGCGAAAAAGAAAAAATGCGCAGGTGTAACCGGTTACACAAATTTCACTAACCAGGCACACCATGGGAAAAAGAACTTACCAGGATGCGCAAAAGGGGTGTAATCGGTTACACCATATGCAGTAACCTATTACACCTGCAACAACAGCAAAAAACAATTATGAAATAAGCAGTTCCAGAATCAATTAATTCACACACTTACAACAGAGCAATAGATACGAAAATACATCAATTATGAGCAATTATGAGCTAGCAAAATCAAGCATACATGTTTAAGTTTCATGTAGAAAAAGAAGACTTAAGAACTACATTGCGAACGCGAGAATTTAGCGAAAACGATAACGAGTATGAAATTCACCAACCTATAAGGTTGAGATTTTCCTTGGTAATTGTTGCAATCAAAATGTGATAGAGAGAAGCTAAGAAAACCATAAATCTAGAGATTTCCACAAGCAAGCTAAGAATGATGCGATAACCGATCCAAATTCGAAATTGCACCAAACTTCTCCAAGAATCAACTTTCAATGCTTGAAATGGAGTAGTTTCTTCTGTTGCTACATATCAAAGGAGTAGAAGAGTGTGATAGGGTAAAGGTTTAGCTCAAAGGATAATAAGTTTCAATGCAAATCTTGCTAAGTTTTAATAATGAATGAGCTTTGGTGAGGTTTGGGAAGAAGATGATGATTGAAAGAGAGAGAGAGAGAGAGAGAGAGAGAGATGCATAATATTCAGAAAATGAGAGAGAATGAAGAGTGAAAATTCAGAGCAAAGTTGGAATTTGGAAAATGAAAGTTGGATCCTTTGCATCAATGTGAAGAGTTTGTTTATAAAGAGCATAAGCTTGGAATGAATTGAGGTTTGGAGCTTGGTGTGAAGTTATCTTAGGGAGGGTTAGAGCTAGGTGTGAAGTTAGTTAAGCCCAACTCACTGTGTCAACTTCCACTCAGTTAGTTATTCCTAACTCAGTTGGTTGGAGGGAGTTAATTGCCAACTAAATGGTTAATTGTGTTAAAATGAAATGGAAATGAGGTTGCATGGTGTAGTGCACTTGAGTTGATGTATGGGAATATGTGAAGTTACTATCATTTGTTGTTGCAATGTATGTATAAAATAGCTATTTTATGTGGGATTAAGGTGTGGAAAAAATCTTGGAAGTAACCACTATAGTACCTGAGATGATGCTGAAAAAACAAAATCACGCAGGTGTAATCGGTTACCCTGATTGCTGTAACAAGTTACACATGCCTATGCACGTGTCTCCTGAGTTGTCAAAGAGGGTGTAATTGGTTACCCTAATCTTGGTAACCGATTACCATAGTAAACAAATTATTTTTCTGCTTTTTTGTTTCGTGTTGTTTTGGACATGGCTTTGTATCCCAGACTTGTACTTGGATTAATTGGATCTGAACCCTTTATATGGACATAATGGTTGATTAGACCACTTGACGACTTTGCTGGGGATAAATCCAACATCGGTATTATGCCATTACCACTTCATGACTAGCATAAACTATTGGATTGAATATTCTTGGAATAATGTTCATAAATAAAATGCAATTGCATGTGTTGCAAACATGGATGCATATGCCTCATGCAAAAGGAAAAAGGCTAGTAAGGGTAGGACAAATTTTGGGGTACAACAATGACGTGCCGCCACCGCTTCCTACAGTTGATGCCGATGACCAACAACGCCTTTTGATGATTGCAGTTATTATGGATAATCTCATGGGTTTGGTAAGCCCAGATGGTGAGGTTTATACTAGATTATCTCGGGTTGCACACATAGCCTACAGGGGGACTATTTAGACATTATTGTTGTCTTTATGTATTATTTGTATATTACATGTAACATTACTCACACATCTTCATTATAACTTTTTATTAGATAATATTTTTAATCTCCCATTGATGCAACATCAACACAAACTAACATTTGACAATGCATTACATAAGTTAAACATAATTTTAAAAAATGATAATAAATAAGAAAACCTGACATTACCAAATGATTCTAGACATTTCATCATCTTAATTATGTCGTCGATAGACCTTGAAATCTTAGCATCTAACTCGATCGACCCATTTGTTAACCTATGGTGAAAGGATCTTCACATATCCTTCACATCATCATTGGTCTTCACTCAATAAGGTTGTATTTCACTCTTTCGTTATTATCAATCCAATCTTCACGAAACTCGATATTTCTCTCCTTTATGTTTTTAGTATCATACAACAATCCATTCAATTTTGACGTCAATACGACAAGATATGTGGTGTCATCCGGAAGCCGGAACTTTACGTGAGGTGAAACTCTGTTGAATTACATTTCTGCCTTAATCAAAAATTAAGAAAGAGACATTTTTTGAGATGTTTTTATCAAACAATAGGTGACCCCCTTATTTATACAACTTTGTTTTTATTCTGGACCACAAAAAATTGTCGGCAAAATTTATTAGATAATATTTTTGATCTCCCATTGATGCAACATCAACATAAACTAACATTTGACAATGGATTACATAAGTTAAACATAATTTTAAATAATAATAATAAATAAGAAAGCCTAGACACTACCAGATGATTCTAGACATTTCATCATCTTAATTATGTCGTCGATAGACCTTGAAATCTTAGCATCTAACTCGATCGACCCATTTGTTAACCTACGGTGAAAGGATCTCCACATATCCTTCACATCATCATTGATCTTCACTAAATAAGATTGTATTTTACTCTTTCGTTATTATCAATCCAATATTCACGAAACTCGATATTTCTCTCCTTTCTGTTTTTGGTATCATACAACAATCCATTCAATTTCGATGTCAAGATATGTGGTGTCATTCGGAAGCCGAAATTCTACATGAGGTGAAACTCTGTTGAATTACATTTCTGCCTTAATAAAAAATTTAGAAAAAGACATTTTTTGAGATGTTTTTATCAAACAACAGGTAACCCCCTTATTTATACAACTTTATATTTATTCTGGACTACAAAAAACTGTTGGTGCAATCACAGCTGTCCAAAACTGTCAGTAAAAGTCCAAACATTTAAAATTTCAAACAAATAACACTACCCAAAATTTCACTTTGGTTGAAATTTCTGATATATAATGACATATTTAAAAATTTCAATATTATTTATAATTTTACAAAAATATCATAAATTTTGATATATAAAAAATTTACAATACATTATCGAAAATTATAATTTTACCAATCGAAAATTTCATACAAAAATTTAATTCAAATTTTGGTCAGGACAGATTTGAAAATTTAAAACTACAAGGGATGTCATGTATAAAGGGGAGTGACAAATAAATTCTCTAAAAACAAGCAAAGAGCCAAGTCCACGCTTGGCAGTACTTTTTCGGCGGTGACACCCAGTAGATTCCATTCTTCATTACTCCGTCATTCTTCAACTTCGAAGGTAACTTCCACCCCCCATCGAATCTCACAGAGACAACACTTTCTCTCTTTTTCTTCTTTATGTTTTGAATTTTCTCATCAACTAAATCTTGAAAAATACACTACTGATTCTAGGGTTATTATATCTTCATCGAACTGGATTATTGAGAATCGAATCATTCGTCAACATTGAAGATGTTTGAACGGAAGCAGTTCAAGACTAGGTTATGCGCTCTCTATCAGAAAGGTCGCTGTAATCGCCTCAACTGTTCCTTTGCGCACGGGAATGCCGAGCTTCGACGTTTCTCTTCTTCCTCCTATAATGGTGAATTTCCATTCTTTCACTGTCCATATTTTAGTATTATTATTATTTTTTTGATTATTGATTTATTCATATAATGGTGGATTTTCATTCCTTCATTGTCTATGAGATTGTTTATTTTATTTTTGTTTTGGCGACTGACTTATTCATTTACATACTTCAGTTTATGCTAATGTTAGTTGAGCGATGTTTGATGGATGCACGTTGTGTTAATCAAGGTTACTTAGCTTAAAGTAGCTTAAAGGCTTCCGCGATTTACCGATTGTGGTTGTTGCAGTGTAAATTAACGTGAATTAACAGTATTGATAAAGAAGGTGAATAACAGTATTGATATCGGCATCTTCTGATACCGTTTTGTCTCGACAGTTTTCGTAGTAACGGACTGTTTTTTAAAATCTTGGTGTTAGTTATTATGTTTTTCCCTACACAGCGAATTTCTTTTACTAAATCTACTTCTCAAATAGACTATAGTATAGAATTTGAACTAATTGGTATTGTTCCGTGGTAAGCTATTTGATACAAACTGTTGCCAAATAGCAACTATTCTTGAACAAACCGTCCGCCATCTGTAATTGATATACATTATAACCACAATGCAGTTATCAATTGACACTTAAATTATTATATGGTTTTCAGTACTTCAATTTGAGTATTGCACCTGTTTTATTAGTCTAGTTTTTCCTCCTATGATTTTTCCTAAATAACACCGTTCTTGAATCAAGGAAATCAATCTGAGAGCATATTTTGAACATGATGATCTATATTTATTTTCTGGAATGTCGAGTTCAAAAGAATGTTCCTAAATGAAGAACTGACAAAAATTATAAAGAGCCCTTTGCGTGTCTTCTTGCAGATATAGATGGCTGTAGATATTTCCTTGGTCTATTTGTAGCCCACTAGTCTTGTGTTTTTCTGTGTTTCTATTGTGACTACTTCATAAGCTGGTCTATTATTCATGATATAAGGCTGTTTAAACCATGGGGAGTCTAATTACATCTTATATTATGATAACATACATAACATGCATCGGGAAAATTGACTAATGATGAGTAAACTAAGCATTGTGTGAAAGGAGAAAAATGTGGGGAAGTAAATTATGTAGTGACACATTATCGGCATCACTTCTAAACTAACTATTCACATCTCCAGATTGTTTAGTCGAGACACTATTATTCCATCTATTTAGCTGGATTCAATTCAATACTCTTAAAACACTGCAGATTTGAATGCATATCTCTATCTGATCTGATAATATGGCTCATATGTCCATTGACACTGTATAAGCAGATACTGAAGCATACATATGCAAAACACATAGCAAGTGGGACTAGTTTCAAATTAATATATTCTATTTCAACAATTTCAACAATAGAATGTATGTCCACATTATCTTGTAGACTGTTGCATTTCTAGCCATACGGATATTTCATTTATGAGAGACTCTTCACATGGATTTTGCCAATTGGTTTATCTTAGAGGCAATGCTGATGTTGTTGACATAATATTTTCTTGGCAATGTTTTATATGCTTCATTCCATGAATCTGTGGAGCTACAATATCTTAATCAGGTTCTCATGAATTTATCTGCCAGCTTCTTATTATGATCAGAAGAGTTGAACTAGTTTGAGTAGTTTCCCAATCATTTCATATACAAATTCCACTACATAGATGTGGATCTTATGATATTCCTTTTGGCTGTTACTTCTGGATATGCCATGGCTACATGGTCATAGACAAATTAATGAAGATGATATCTGGAGATATTAAATCTGATAGTCTTTGGATGGATTTTTATTTCTTAAGCATCTCAGATATGACTCTCTATTTGAGGTTATATATTATATTGTACTTCTCAACAAGATGAGGATGTGAACCGTTGTTAATCAATTGCTACCTTGATTATACTTCAAAGATATATGCTACATACGTGGGTTTTACTATATCTGTCATAATATGAAGGTGATATTTTCTATCGCCTTTTTGCTCTAAATGGGAGGCACTAACACTATTCGTTATTATGTTTCTCTTGTTATTCCAGCTAATGGTAAGCTTGGTCTTCATTATCAGTTTCTATACTCTGTTTTTAGCTTTTGAAGTATTTGTTGCTTTTGATTTTAGTCTAGAATACTAAAGCTTATTTTCTTATTACAGGAAGGAAAGACTATTTGGGTAATGACTTGAGGGATAAACTTGACAGAAGGCAATTATCACCTCCAAGATATTCACCAGCTCGTGACGCAAGAGGTCGACAGACTATTCGAGGTTAGACACAACATCTTTATTTATGATTTCTCTCATGGTTTCTAGTATCATTTCTTAGTTTAGTTTAATCATACCATGGAGGGAAGGTTCCAAGTCACTCTAACAAGGTTTTTCTATCCATGATAGAAATTTTACATTTCATTTTTTGAGACTGATTTCTTAATCTTGAACATATCCGCTATTACCAGGTTTAAGAGATTTTTAAATGAGATTGTCAGAGACATGTCTTATTTCAGTCTATTTTATCGTGAGTTTTATATAAGCAAAGAAGAGTGTTTACTGCTACACTATGAAGTTATACTCTCATAGATGGGAACTACCCTCACACGCACATAGGTTTCACTCACTGTTTTACTCAATGATCCCCCTTTTCTCTTTCCTAATGTTCCATGAATTAAAATTTGCAGAATACAGTCCACTGAGGTCTCCAGATAAAAGAAGGTAAATTAGCATGAACCACTATTGACAATGTTGTTTTTCTGCCTTCTTTTTTGTCGGAATTATTGCCTACTACTTTGGTTCTTGTTGAATGTACATATTAAAATATGCTTATATCAACTAATAAAGTGGAAATTAGAAATCTATTTAAAAAAATTATTGGCATATATTTGGGTAAGACAAACTTTGAAACGGGGAAGTGGGATTAGAGAAGGCCGGGGGAGACTTGATGCCTCATGAATGATAAATAAGAAATGAATGAGTTAAGGAGAAACATGTGAAGCAAACCAGAAGTGACAAATGTATACTCGGTCTGCCATGAAGTTATATATCATATGTAATTTTAAGCAGATGATATTATGTTTATTGATTTTTGATATTAAAGGTCAACTTATCCTTCATGAAACTCACTTGCTGTGGAATGAGGGTCTTATTGTTTTGCAATTGTAGTTACACATCTGATATAAAAATGTAGTTATTTTGATAACACTAAAGGGGCAGAACCAAATAGTACAAAACAGAACAATTTAATTTTATTTCGTTCCATTATATTCCACACCGACTGCAGGCAAAATTGCTTTATGAATGTAATATCTTCTTTAGGGCCAACCTTTAGTTAGTTTCTACATCTACTATTTGATTTTGTTTAACATCCTCAGTCATGATTTAGTCTAAATATCAACATCTCCCGGTGCAGTGACAGAAGACATAAGAGAAAACAGGCCATCAGTGGCCAAAGTGATATTTCTGGAAGTTTAAAAGTCTCTGATAGAAATAATGATCAAGTTAAAGAAGGAAAGATGCTTTCCTCTGGTTCTAGAAATACTCTTGAAGATCAGGTTAGAAATTGTTTAATCTTTCTATCACAAATATTTCCAATACATTCTATCACAAATATTTCCAATACATTCTATTGTTCTGTGAAATGTCATGTTAATTTTAATCTTCGAAATGTTTGCAGCTGAAGAAAGTTCATTCTGATATCAAAACTCTTGAGAACCGAAAATTCCAATTGTCGGTTAGTTTTGTCTCGTATAATTGCATTTTTTCACATATAAATGACCATGTTGTTTGTGATGTCATTTGGTGTCATTCTTAGAGCATCTCAAATATACTACTTTTTTAACATCATGTCCCAATCAATTTTGTTTTTAACCTGCAGTAAACATAAAAGAAAATACATGTTATCTCTTGTCTCGTTCTAACCTGCATACTGAAAGGGGCCCATGTCTTTTGTCTTTGTTGTTTGGCACCTAAAAACATTGGTTTACAATATGATAGAACCTGCAAAATCAAGGTAACAAAACTGTATATTATTGAATGGAAAAGATGAGCTCAAGAGCTCTACAATGGTGGAAATGGGGAATGAAAGGATAAACCAGAGTTCAAGAACTCCTAACCAGAGCAATATGCTCCTACCCTACACTCTCTTTTATAACAGAAAATCCCCTAAAATATGGGAGGGTGCTAAACTAACCGTATTCCATCTGTTTCTACAATCTTCTAGAACATGCTTAATTTTCCTATCACCGTTGTTGATGGAGAGAAGGAGACACAGTTGGGCCTGGACTCTAACATCAGGCCCAAGATATGGAGAGTGTATGAGAGGAGGCGTGGGAAAGCAAGAGAGAGAAAAGAGGAGGAAAACGCGTGTGCATGGGATGCATAAGGAGTGAGGTCAGCTGAGTATATTAAGACAGTTAGAGGAGAGAGAATAGCTAGCCAAGTATTCTGTTAGAATGGATTCACTCTTGTGAATTTAGGCCTTGTGGCTATAGGGAATTGATAGCCTGTTATCAATTCACGTTACCTATTATTACTATCTACCATTACTATTTCTTGCTGCTTGTAATTGTTACTCATCATATAAACAATTACCTTTGCTCCTTTGTTCTTAATCTGCTATTTACTGTTTCATTAACCCATCAATTGGTCCGACCTACCGGATCAATAACCCCTCAGAAATCTCGCAACTGTCGATGCCAAGGAAACCTAAGATGGGTGATCGTATAGATGCGTTGGAGACCCAGATGGGAAGTGTTAATGCGACGTTACAGGAACTTGCGTTGCAGCTGCAACAACAGAGTGTTGTACTGACTGCGCTCAGCAAACAGATGGGGAAGAAGGTTGTGCCTCACGAGGAAAACTCGAACGATGATGCGTCATCACAGAGTGAGTCTCGCTTGGCTGGAAAGAAGGTGAAGCTGCCGTTGTTTGAAGGAGAGGATCCAGTTGCGTGGATCACACGAGCTGAGATCTATTTCGATTTTCGACGTACAAAACACCTCTGAGGATATGCGTGTGAAGCTATCTCGTTTGAGTATGGAAGGTGCCACCATACATTGGTTTAATTTGCTTATGGAGACAGAGGACGACCTCACGTGGGAGAAGTTGAAGAAAGCGTTGATTGCGCGCTATGGAGGTCGGCGTTTGGAGAACCCGTTCGAGGAGTTATCAACTCTGAAGCAAACGGGGAGCGTCGAGGAGTTTGTCAAAGCGTTTGAGTTGCTATCATCACAGGTGGGCCGGTTGCCAGAGGAACAATACTTAGGGTACTTCATGAGTGGTTTGAAGCAACTCATCTGTCGCCGGGTAAGGACTCTAAATCCTCAAACTCGGATGCAAATGATGCGAATGGCGAAAGATGTGGAGGACGAGCTGAGAGAAGAGGACGATGATGGTTCGCGTAACTACAATAAGAAGATAGTGGGCCGTAGTGAAGCGAATGGGCTCGGGTTTAAATTCCGAACCGGGTTTAATTCGACCCAGAAGGAAGTAACGAAGGGGGTGAGTTCTGGTTGGAACAACCCGACAAGAAAAACCGGGTCCGTAGGGTCCAACATGAATTCCTCGTCATTGCTGAGTTCGACGGGGAAGAAATCTGATTCTGAACGGCGAAGTGGGGGCTCTAAACGTTGGAAAGGTGTGCGAAATGAAGAGATGGAGGAGAGGCGAGCTAAGGGTTTGTGTTTTAAGTGTGGCGGAAAGTACCATCCGACGTTGCACAAATGTCCTGAGCGCTCGATGCGTGTGTTGATACTTGGAGATGGAGAAACGATGAATGAGGAGGGTGAGATTGTGGCGCTGGAGGAGGAAGAGACAGGGGATGAAGAAGAAGTTGAAGCAGAATGTAAGATTATAGGGGTCCTTGGTAAAATGGGAGAGCACCATACCATGAGAATTGAAGGGAAGCTTACTAATGTAAATGTTGAGGTTCTCATTGATAGTGGTGCTAGTCATAGCTTCATTTCTCCTAAATTGGCTATGGCGTTGGGGATGACAATTACACCTACTAGGGTGAAAAGAATCAAACTGGGTGACGGTCACAGGGTGTTGTCCGAAGGTATATGCTGAGCAATCAAATTGACATTGGGATCTCAAACGTTCACCATTGATGCCTTGGTGTTGGAGCTGGGTGAATTGGATGTGGTGTTGGGAATCTCGTGGCTGAGTACGCTTGGAAAGGTCATAATGGACTGGAAGGATCTATCTATGCAGTTTTGGCATAAAGGAGAAGTGATTACCTTGCAGGGACAGAAGGAAAGACAAATTCAAAAAGGATGTCTTAATGCTTTTTTGACAGGAAGAGAAGGTGAGATGGGCAAAAGTGGATGGTGGCAATGTAAAGAAGAAATTCAAGGTACAAAGGAAGAAACAATGGTGGAGGTTTTAAACCTGTACCCTGAGGTGTTTAAAGACAAATTGACTTTGCCTCCCATGAGGGAGCAGTTGCACATAATCACTCTTTTGCCAAATCAAGGTCCTGTCAATGTGAGACCTTATAAGTACCCCCATCATCAAAAAGAGGAAATTGAGAGGCAGGTGGCAGAACTGTTACAGGTAGGGGTCATAAGACCCATTATGAGCGCTTTCTCGAGTCCGGTGATTTTGGTTAAGAAGAAGGACCACACGTGGAGGATGTGTGTGGATTATAGAGCCCTTAACAAGGCTACTATACCTGACAAATATCCGATTCCAATTGTTGATGAGCTCTTGGATGAATTGTATGGTTCAACAATTTTCTCCAAAATTGATCTAAAAGCAGGTTACCATCAGATACTGGTTCAGGAAGATGTCCACAAAACTGCTTTTAGAACTCATAATGGTCATTATGAGTATCTCGTCATGCCTTTTGGGCTAATGAATGTGCCTGCTACGTTTCAAGCGACAATGAATGACATTTTCAGGCCTTTTCTGAGGAAATTTGTGCTAGTATTCTTTGATGATATTCTGGTGTACAGTAGGAATGCTCAAGAACACGGTAAACATTTACAACAAGTGCTGGCAGTGCTGGTCAGTAATTGTTTTGTGGCAAACAAATCCAAATGTAAGTTTGGTTGTTCTCAAATTGATTATTTGGGGCACATCATCTCTGGAGCAGGGGTAGCCGTCGATCCTGGAAAGATAAAATGTATCTTAGACTGGCCCAGTCCTAAGAATGTGAAAGGCGTGAGAGGGTTTTTGGGTCTCACGGGATATTACAGGAAGTTTGTTAGAGACTATGGTAAAATTGCCAGGCCTCTAACTGATCTCACAAAGGACAATTTCCTTTGGAGTGAGAGTGCCAAAGAAGCTTTTGAGAAATTGAAAAGAATCATGACCACTCCTCCCGTTTTGGTGCTTCCTGATTTTTCCTTACCGTTTGAAGTCGAATGTGATGCTGCAGGGAGAGGTGTGGGAGCTGTGTTGATGCAGAGGAGACAGCCCATTGCCTACTTCAGTAAGGCCTTATCTGAGAATAACTTGGCAAAATCTGTGTATGAGAAGGAATTGATGGCTTTGGTTCTAGCCATACAGCACTGGAGACACTATTTATTGGGTAAGGAATTTGTGGTTTACATTGACCACAAGAGCCTTAAACATTTTTTACAGCAAAGAGTGTCCTCACCTGACCAACAGTGTTGGCTGGCTAAACTCTTAGGGTACCAGTTTGAGGTGAAATACAAACCGGGCTTGGAAAACAAAGCAGCGGATGCGTTGTCAAGGTGCTTTGATGAAGGGGAATTAGCCTCTATGTTACATACACCAAACTGGCTGGAGAGCAGTAGGTTACTGCAAGAGGTGAAGAAAGGTAATGAGGTGAAGAAATTAACAGAAGAGGTGGAAAAGAATCCACAATCCAGACCTGGTTTTACTCAGCAACAGGGTGTGTTGATGTATCATGGTCGCATGGTAATAGGACCAAATTCTCCCTCTATTCCTTTACTACTAAAGGAGTGCCATAACACTCCCATGGGGGGCCATTCAGGATTCCTCAGAACCTACAGGAGGATATCTGAAAATGTCTATTGGAGTGGTATGCAAAGGACCATTAGGGACTACGTGGGGGCCTGTGACACCTGTCAGAGACAAAAGTATGCAGCCACCACTCCTGGGGGTCTGTTGCAACCGTTGCCGATACCGAATGCTGTTTGGGAGGATATCTCCATGGACTTCATTACTGGTCTACCTAAGTCCAAGGGATATGAGGCAGTGTTTGTGGTGGTGGATAGGTTGTTCAAATATAGTCATTTCATCTTAATGAAATACCCTTACACAGCTAAATCTGTTGCAGAGGTTTTTGTGAGGGAGGTGGTTCGGCTACATGGAATACCCAATTCCATTGTCAGTGACAGAGACCCGTTGTTTGTGAGTTATTTCTGGAAAGAGTTGTTCAAATTGCAGGGGACTGCACTCAAAATGAGTTCATCTTACCATCCTGAGACAGATGGACAAACAGAGGTCATTAACAGATGCCTTGAGAGCTATCTAAGGTGCTTTGCAGCTGAGCAGCCTAAATCGTGGTCTTACTGGATTCCGTGGGCAGAATACTGGTACAACACGACCTATCATGTCTCTATAGGAAAATCTCCTTTTGAGGTGGTATATGGGAGGCAACCACCCAAGTTATTGAGATTTTTGAGCAATGAAACCAAAGTGGCAGCAGTGGCTTTGGAACTGAAGGACAGGGATGAAGCACTCAACCAGTTGAAACTACATTTACTGAAAGCTCAACAACAAATGCAGTCCTATGCTAACAAGAAGAGGAGGGATTTGAAGTTTGAAGTCGGGGAATGGGTGTTTCTGATATTGAGGCCTCATAGGCAGCAGTCTGTAGTCAAAAGGATTAATCAAAAACTTGCAGCTCGTTTTTATGGTCCTTTCCAAATTATAGAGAAGATAGGTGCAGTGGCCTACAAATTGCAGTTGCCTGACCAGTCTAAAATTCACCCGGTCTTCCATGTGTCTTTACTTAAAAAGGCAATTGGGGATTACCAAGTGCAAGGGGAGTTGCCTAAGGAGTTGAAGGTCGTACTAGATGATGAGATATATCCTATGCAGGTGTTGGGCAGTAGGGTGACAGTTCAAGGGGGTGTTTCCACTCCTCAAAGTTTAATTCAGTGGAAGAACAGACCTGTCGAGGATGTAACATGGGAGGATGATGCTGTACTCAGGGGGCAGTTTCCGGATTTTAACCTTGAGGACAAGGTTAATTTGGAAGGAGGGAGTATTCATGGAGAGAAGGAGACACAGTTGGGCCTGGACTCTAACATCAGGCCCAAGATATGGAGAGTGTATGAGAGGAGGCGTGGGAAAGCAAGAGAGAGAAAAGAGGAGGAAAACGCGTGTGCATGGGATGCATGAGGAGTGAGGTCAGCTGAGTATATTAAGACAGTTAGAGGAGAGAGAATAGCTAGCCAAGTATTCTGTTAGAATGGATTCACTCTTGTGAATTGAGGCCTTGTGGCTATAGGGAATTGATAGTCTGTTATCAATTCACGTTACCTATTATTACTATCTACCATTACTATTTCTTGCTGCTTGTAATTGTTACTCATCATATAAACAATTACCTTTGCTCCTTTGTTCTTAATTTGCTATTTACTGTTTCATTAACCCATCAATTGTCCTCAAATCTGAGCTTGAGACATAGTCTCCTACATTGACTCTTGTGCGGGTTGTGACGTGAACAAAGTCCGGAGAACCAAGCATAAGATATGGCAAACACAAAAAACTGTATCACGATCAACGGGAAACTGCCACTGCAATACATTCTCCGCAATTTTTAAGTCCTCTGCTGCGTCATATTTTTTTTCCAGGATCCCTCGTCGGTTACATAACTGAAAATGATTGAGCCACTCAAATGGTCTCAATCCCACCGTACTTGGTCGGACAATTCCTGTTTAATTCTTTCAAATTTAGAGAAGTCACCATTGCAACAATCATAACTTGAACGAAGAAAAGGTGAGCTTTGTTAAGAAGTGTGGTTGGGCCTAACTCAACCCTACAAAACCGGTTGGTAGAGTGAGGATTACCCCCACTTATAAACACATGTGCATGCCATATATTGTCCGATGTGGGACTCTTAACACACCCGCTCGCGCTCAGGACTAGACAACTGAAGCGTGGAAATAAATGTTGGGTGGCCCGATAGCGGAAACCATAGAAGGTGGCCCACCGGATCTTAAACGAGGCTCTTGATACCATGTTAAGAAATGTGGTTGAGCCTAACTCAACCCTACAAAACCGGTTGGTAGAGTGAGGATTACCCCCACTTAACACATGTTCATGCCATATATTGTCCGATGTGGGACTCTTAACAAGCTTATTAGAAGAATCCAATGTATTCGTAGCCATATCTTCTACAATTTCTAGAACTTTGACCAAACCAAACCTTTCGGAAGATCTTTGTACGGAAAGAAGGTAGTAGTACTGACACATCTTTGTTTCTCTATCATATTCATCTTCAACTAGGGCCTCCCAATATTCACCAAACTTAAGATAGGAACAGTCTAAGATAGCAGTGAGTGTGAAGAAACAACTCCATGCACACCAAACTCACTGAAGTCTCCCGGATCATCAACAAATAAGCTAGGAAAAAGATTTTTACACCAAGTTTACCATCTATTTTGTAAGACATACTTTTCATCCAACATACCCAACCCAGTCTACTTTTATTTTTATATAATCTTCCACCCCACAAAAAATACCTTTGGATCTTTTTCAAAAAACTTTAAAATCCTTATGGGTGCTTTATAGAAAGAGAAGTAGCGTCAAATAGTTTTCAACACAGAACTTATTATTAAGGTTGCTCTAACTCCACTTGAGAGATGACTGCTGCTCCACGAGTTCATCTACTTCTTCATCGCCTCCTCCACCAACAACGATGTGGAGCATCTTCTAGGATTCGCAGCCATTGAGAATCCAAAATTTTTAAAGGAATTGATCCAACACATCATCACAAAAAATAATTTTCCCAGGTTTATTATTTGAAAATATTTACCCAGTCCCCAGAAACCAACTCAAAGTCTCTTAAGATTGTCTTAAAGCTCAACAAATCACCCACAGCCCTTCACAAGAGCAGCAGCTGGTGACAGCGTGTTGAGGAAGCTCTGACGATGGCATTTTGAAATTAGGTAAATCTACTTCCGAGGCTAATGGTAGAATGTGTGTGCCTTTGGCTGATTGGCGGTGGCTCCGATGGCAACTTTGGTTCCAATTACACAATGATTTTGTTGTGAGATGGCAACTTTGGCTGTAGCTTAGCTATGGTTTTGTCACGAAATGGCTAGATAAGACAATGGGTCGACGTTCACAGCAGCTAAAGCCCTAACAAATAACAGGTGAAATGAGAGACAAAAATTAAGAATCAAGCCATTCTGCCTAAGCTAACTAGGGAACTATGGAAGCCTAATAGATAGGAAATAGTAACTATGTAATCAGAATATGTTTACGCGCAAAAATACTTTGAAGCAATTTGCTTCTGCCAAGCTGAATCTAGAAGGCGCACACCTGTGAGTAATCCTTAATCATGCTTTTTAAAATAGGTTGGCTAAGTACTCACTTTGTCAGTTGCATCTCTGTTCACAAGAGGAAAACTTGAAAGGCAAAAATATCTATTCAATTGTGATTTCCAAATCTTTCTTTTCAGGCTTAAATCTGATACTGATATTGGGAGTTGTTTCAGATACTTGAAAATATTAATGAAGTTGAACTTTCCTATTCATTTCCCTGAAAGAAATGGGAAAAGAAAATGATTTGTTTTTTGCAGTTGAAATAATTATCTTTGAGATTGGATTAAGTTCAATTCAGACTTTTTGACTTGCAATGTACAAATACATATTGAAGGTCTACCTAGATGAGAGTGTTCATGAGGTGGATAGCCTTAATTCTAGAATTCAGGATCTCGAGGCTGAGTTAAACAAGGAGAACGAGGAGTATAAAAGGTAATGGAATGTTTTGAAGTTTATATGTTGATTCTATACCCATCTTCATTAGGTTGACATAATTCTATTCACTTTCCTGGTTTTTATTTATTCTGTTTTTTATTTAAAATGTAAAATTCAGAATTACTTCAAGAATAAGGAAGTTTGTTCGAATGTATAATCATAATTTGGAGTTGCAAGATGAACTGAAGAGGTAAGTTACATATAATATTTGTAGTATGAATTCATATCTTTTTCTCAAATGCATTTTCCTTTGGGAGTCATTTTTGTTTTCAATTTGTTTGTTGTTTGTATCTAGATCACAGGTTCGACTCCAAAGGTTTGGAGACCACCTTTTCACAGACATTTCTACAATTGGTGTTAGCGAGGAAGATTTAACTGTTGATATTGTAAGCAATGGTGATAATACTGGTCTTCCTCCAATCACTAAACTTAGTTTGGAGCAGAATGGTGGATCTCCCTGCAGAAAAAGGCTGCACGTGGAACGAGATTCTGTGGAAGAGTTAAAACAAGGTAGTAAGTAGTTTGGTAAAGATAGTTATTTTGGATTTTCATTAGTAATGTGACCTTCGCTAAGCAAAACATTGGGTAGTGCAACACTGAAAATATCTTACAAGGTAGTAGTTTAGTATCTGACTTTTTTTTATATATTGTGATTCTGTGAACAATGCCGAATTGTCTGTTACAGGCTTTATGTTTTGTAACCTGTATGATTCTGTAGCACTAGTTTTTGATGTTATTAGTCGTTAATATAATGGACAAATTCAACAGTGTCCTCGTATTCTCGTTTCATTTCATAATGTAATAATTTTATTTGTGCATACACACATTTGCTTTCAGTTCATTTGGCATTTTCAAGGTTGTCTCGCTGTGCAAATAATATGCTTCAGTTTTTCCTTGCCATGGTTATTTTGCTGACGTCTCTTGAACGTGCATGCAGATAAATCAAAAGTCGGGCATTTGGTTGAAACAGAAAGAAGTGGGAAGCGTTCTCGATGGAGTTTGTCTGCTAAAACAAACGATAAGGATTGTGAGGAGGCACCGGGCAATGGAATTGAAGTTACTAGGCACCTAGATCTTGAAGGGAAATACAAGAAAGGAATATGGAATTCTTCAAACAACATTCATTCAGAAAAGGTTACTAATTCACTCAATTTCAGGGCAGCTCTGCCTCTGCTGGTACTTGATAAAATGAAGTTTGTTTTAGCATGATTCATTCTGTTGGGTTTCTTTTGTTTCTGTCATACACTGAACAGCTAGTTTTATATCTTGTCTGGAATAAGATTTTCAAAAGTTTACCATGGTCATATTAAATGACATATTTTCATTCATAACCATGAATATACAGCCAAAGGAATCCAGGATTGAAGTGCCGTCAACCAGCATGGCAGCTCATGTGTTTGATGAGGAAGTTGATATTGAACATGATAACGGAACTGATATCTCTGAAAATGCAAAGACAGAGAATGAGAATGGAGTGGAGTTCCATGTGAAGGGCATATCTCACATGCTTACCACAGATTTGATTCCCCATAGCAATTATTCGCAGGTTAGTTCTTCTCTGAGGTACTTTTTGTTTAGTGCCTTAAAAGCTAGACATTTGTAGCAAGCATTTGTAATAGCACTTTAACTTAATGTGCAGTTTGAGGGTAAACGCGAGAATGTGGATGTGGATGGTCTTAATGAAGAAGCAGCAGGAGTACATGTGAACTAATTAGTATTTGCGATTTCTAGCTTTAGTTTTGGTAGTTGAAGGGGGGTATATTTAAAACATTAATATGTTGAAGATGTTCAAATAGGATAGGATGCAAGATAGTTGAACAAAAAACAAATGATTTTGGTACTTACCTTTACATGGATGTATTTATGTATTATATGTTGGTGGATATTAGTGTTATAGGGGAAAGGATTCTCTCGTGTAATTTACACTTTAAAACTCATTTTTATCTAAATTACTGTGTTTCTCTCCTAATGATTGGTGAAAGATCTTACTCCCTCGTTTCAAATTATAAGTCTTTTATTTGGGGGTAAACTTGATAAAAATTAATTAATGTTGCAATGAAATTTTGGAACGTGTGAGTAGGAAATTATACAACTGAGAATTCAAGTTCCAATTATATAGAATGTATGTGAATATGAATTTATGTTTGTGGTGGTGCTTAAGCTGAGATACTATTTGCAGTAGGATGTATTGAAGTGATGATTAATTACACTATAATTCTCTCATGCCTACGTCATAATTCTCTCGTGCCTACGTCAAGTTATTTATGCATATCTCTGAAAATGTAGTGATAGAAAATGTGTTTTTTATGTCTGTTATATGGTTATTTAATTGTATTCGTGGGTATAAAAGAATTTTTGGAACAATTAACTTTCATATTTTCATTGTTTAGTTCTCTTGGGGTGTGTAAATAAAATCACGTGTAAAAAAGTTTAAACAATATTTTAAAATTTGAACTGATGATCAATTTGGTAAGATATTCGAATATTGAGTTACGGATCAAATCGGTGGTAATTTTGTCTAGGTTATTTGCTACACATAGCCGGTCTTAAGTTCGAATAAAAGGTGAGGGTTGTTACATAGTCAACAACTAACTTAAAATTTTGTTCAGTCTCTGACATGGATCAACTTTGCAATAATGTGAATGTTAGAGTGTTGTGTGGAAGCAACATGTTGTATGATTCGAGTAGATTGTCAAAAGTGTAAGGGACACTTTTAGCCGCTTGGATGTAGTGAAAAATAAGTAAGGGTTTTCACATTTTTGTGAATGAGCGTGGGTAAAGAAGTTAGTTCATGAGAGTATGATTTGTTTTGCATCATGGAATATAGACACAATTACTAGAAAATTTATGGATATAGTGGACATTATGGTTAGGAGGAAGATCAATTTTATGTGCCTACAAGAAATTAAGTGGACTGGTGAAAAAGCGAAAGAATTAGACAACTCGAAATTTAAGCTTTAGTACACCGAAAAAGTTAGATCAAAAAATGGGGTGGAGATTATTGTGAGCAAGGAGTGGAAGAAGGATATTGTGGATGTGAAAGAAATAGAAGATCAAATCATAGCCTTAAAATTTTAGTGGAACAAAACACCTTTAATATTATTAGTGCTTATGCACCTCTTTAATATTATTAGTGCTTATGCACCTCAGGTTGAGGTGACATGTTCTTAGATAGATTTCTTATTAGAAAGTTAGATAGGAAGATTTACTTGGACTGTAAAATTATTCTGGGAGAGAGTTTGTCTATCCAACATAGTGTATTGGTTATTGATGTTAGAGAATGTGAGATCACAGAGAAGAAATCACGTGGGAACACCACATATTAAGTGGTGCCATTTGAAGGGAGAAAAACAAGAAAATTTCCAACACAAGACCTTGGAGAGAGGGTTCGGACAACCACTAGGAAGTGCAAATGATACGTGGAATAAGATGGCTCAAGAGATTAAAAAAGTGACTAAAGAGACATTGGGAGAATCAATAGATTTCAGACCTAAGGGTAAAGAATCATGATAGTGGAATGAAAGTGTTTCGAGTAATGTTAGAGTAAAAAAATATTGTTTTAAAGAATGGTCTAGGTGTAAAAAATTAGAAACTTGGAAAAAGTATAAGAAAGTTAAGAATGAGACTAAGAAGGCGGTGAGTGAAGCAAGAACCCAAGCCTTTGACGGATTATACTAATCTTTAGGAACTAATGAGGGAGAAAAATCTATTTATAAGCTTGTTCAGGGAAGAGAAAGAATAACAAGAGATTTGGGTAAGTGAAGTGTGTTAAAGATGAAAAGTGTAAAGTTTTGGTTCAAAAAAAAGATTTAAAGGATAGGCGAAAGATATATTTTTTACAATTTATTTAATAACGGATATGATATCTCACAGACTCTAGCAGACTCGACATTAGCGAAGAGGATCGAAACTATAATTACTCTAGTCAGATTAAAAATTAAGAGGTAAAGTAAGCAATGAAAAGGATGAGTAACGACAAGGCGGTTAGGCCAAATGATATACCGATTGAAGTATGACAAATTCTTGGAGAAAAAGGTATTGAGTGATTCACCAAACTCTTTAATGAAACTACGAGGTCAAAGAAAATACTAGATGAATGGAGAAGAATCACTTTAGTTCCAATATATAAGAACAAGAGGGATATACAAAATTGTGCAAACTATAGATGGGTTAAACTTATATGAATCATACCATGAAGTTATGAGAAAGAGTGATTGAATGAAGACTAAGAAAAGAGACTTAAGTTACTGAGAATCGATTTGGTTTTATGCATGGAAGGCCGACCATGTAAATGACCTATCTACTATGACATGTGATGTAGCAACATCAAATAGATCAAAAAGATTTGCATTTAATTTTTATTGACTTAGATAAGGCGTATGATATGGTGCCTAGAGAAATTTTGTGGAAATCCCTAGAGAAGAAAGAGGTTAGGATTTCATATATTCGAGCTATCCAAGATATGTATGAATGGATATCGACTAAAGTGAAGACACAAGGTGGAGAGATAGAGGATTTCCCCATTACAATAGATTTACATCAATGTTCAACCCTATGCCCTTACAATTTTACCTTATTTTTGGATGTACTCACAGAACACATCCAAGATCTAGCACTGAGATACACGCTTTTTGCAGATGATATAGTCTTGCTTGAAAAGTCGAAGGAGGATTTAAATGAGAGGTTGGCAACTTGGAGACGAGTTATAGATACACATGTTTTTCGCCTAAGCAAAAGTAAGATAGTATATAGAATGCAATTCGACCAAAGAAGAAACGTTTCTAACCTAGAGGTGAAAGTTGGAGATCATATCATCCCTCAAGTCACACAGTTTAAATATCTTGGGACTGTAATATAAAAGGATGGATAGAAAGGGATGTAAAGCATCAAATTTAAGCTGGATGGCTGAAATCGAGGAGGACTTCAGGGGTTCTATGTGGCGCAAATGTGTTGCTCAAGTTGAAGGGATAATTTTATCGAACTGCGGTAATACCTGCGATGTTGTACGAGAAATTTTTTTGGGCGCTTAAGAATTAACAAGAGAATAAAGTAAGTGTAGAAGAGATGATAATGTTGTATTGGATGCATGATAATACTAAAAAGTATAGAATTAGAAATGAAAATATTAGAAAGAGTGCTGGGGTAACACCTATAGTAGAGAAGATGGTGGACAATAGACTTAAGTGATTTGGACATGTAAAGAGAAGATCATTAGATTCTGTGGTAAGGAAAGTAAATCAGATGGAGAGAAATCAAACAACTAGAGGAAGAGCAATGCCTAGAAAGACTATAAGAGAAGTTATTAAGAAAGGTCTCGAGTTTAACAATTTGGATAGAAGTATGGTTCTGGATAAAACATTATGACGAGAGTTGATCCATGTAGTCAACGCTACTTAGTGGGACAAGGCTTGATTATTATTCTTGTTGTTGTTGTTGTTGGATCAAATCAGTGGTAGATTATGTGATTATTGATCCAGTTGATATATATAAAATGAAGAAAATATTTAGGGTATTACTTTACCCACTTCATGGGTACTAGTTCACCACACTGAAAAGTCACAAAAGCCCTCAGATTTCAAAGATGTATCTATGGACGCAACCAAATTACACACCCCTAACACTTTAGTGGATGAGCCACCTCATTTTCTCTAATATATTTTCGAAGATGCATCTCTGTAATAACCCTTATTTAAAAACACTGATTTTTACGAAGATGCATCTTTAAATGAGTTTTAATTAATAAACCTCGCACCAGAACCTTCCTCATTCCTTCTTCATTTGTTACATTTTCACAAAACCTTTTCAAAGAGCTCTGAAGAATTCAAGTGTGTCATTTCTCAAGCTGCAACACTACTTCAACTGCATTTCAATCAACCCCAATAAGTTCCATTAATCCATTCAAGCTTTTATACAACAACTCTCAATTGATAAATTTCTCATTCTTTTCTATTTTTGAGTTGTGATGCATGTATCAGGTAATATAGGTTGTTTAAAATACATTAGTTTGTAGTTACATTCAAAATAGGTACTTTCTTTAGACATGCATAAAAATTTGTTGGTCTTTAGGGCATTGTCTGCATTTTCTGGAATTTCTTCTATCATACACTTTTACGGAGATAAATCTCTGAATTTTTCTGGAATTTTTCGTCCTTCTAGTTTTACAGACATGCATCTCTAGTTTTTCTAGATTTTTCTTTTTTGTTTTGGTTTACGGAGATGTATTTCCGAATCTTACTTGCCTTGATTTTGATATAGTTTTTTGTTTTGTATTATAGGAATAATGGCTAAAAATCAAGACAGGTTGAGGCATAATCGTCTATCCCAACATGGGTCCGTTCGTAAGAAGGGAAGAGCGCTTGAGGCATAATCGTCTATCCCAACATGGGTCCGTTCGTAAGAAGGGAAGAGCGCTTGAGGCCATAAGTTATTTCTAGTTTGTTTAACATGGAGGCTTCAACTTCACATGGCCGTGTGTATTATAATTCACAAGGTCGCATGTTTAAGACTTCGACCTCCCGAGGGCATGTGTCGCATGCTGACCCTCCAGCTTATGAAGAGCCGGAAGCCCCTGAAGCTTAACATGAGGTACCTACTGCTGCTGATCCCGTTCCTGATAGTTTTTTTGGAGGCCCCTATGACACCTCCATACTTCCTTTCTATGCAGAACATGTTTCTAGACATGTGTGAGAAGGAGATATATTTATTTACTTT